GCAGTGTATGTGTAGAACATATGGAAACTCAACACACGTTCGCATTTCACTCCCATTTGACGGACGTTTTACACTGTATTTCGCATTCACTATAACACAGAATATTCCGGACATTCATTCCGATAGTAAAGCATTGGTTTGAATGCATTTATGACTAAAAGCATTGTTTTTAGATTATTGTTTGAGTTTTTGTTAGTTTTTAGAAATTATTTATTATCTAATCTCTGGTGAAAACGTTGGGTTAAATGAAAGTCCCTATTATTTTATATCATCCATAGTTTATGATATTTTTTTGTTGAAACAATTTTTTACTTATAATAGGGATTTATGAGTAAGTCTTTCGCTTAAAAGTCTAGTTTAATAACTATTTTTATGATTGTTTTCCAATAATTGCTATAAAATATATGGCTTTAGAGCTAATATCTAAGGCATTAACGTTGAGTTAAAATGTTTTTTATAAAACAATTATAACGTAATCATAAATTTTATTGCATTTATAGTTGATTTTCGAAACGATAAATAAGTTACAAATCAATAATTTTTGCTTAAAGCTAAAGCATAAGTATATTTTACAAACAGATATTAAAGTGTTTTGTAATTTACAGATATTATCATTAAAATAGTAAAGTAATGGCAAATAAATGCTTACAAATGAGAATTAGTGTGCATTTCTATAATAATTGCAAAAATATAATCAAAAAATAAAACAATTTAACAGCAAAACAATTAAAAATAAAAATTTATATTTGATATTAAAACTAATCATAACTTAAATGTCATTTAAGTGATGGTCACTTTAATCTTATGAACCAGTGAGCGAATAGTCAAATCCGGGATGACATGGGTCATTTTTATCACACGGCCACTTGATGCAGGCACACTTACTGCCAATGGGGAAAGATGCCCATGCTGATGGCTGGTGGAATATTCGACGGATACAAACTGAAAACATGTTGAGTATAGCGAAGAGTCGCGGCCGCGGATCCAACTGAGTCTTGTCGTCCGGTTTCCAATTGGATGATAGGTTTGATACGATCGCCGCCACAGCTATTGCCTTTAAATGTGATTGTTTTTTAATATTTATTAAATTGGTTGTTATCATATTGTGTTTAACAGTGGAGTTAATCATGCTACTAATTTAGCAAACTTCACTTATCATATAATTTACAGTTTTAAATGTATAGTAAATTTTAATTTTATTGAAGACTTTATAGAAGATGTTAAATGTATTTAAGGTATTTTAACGATTACTTACGGCTGCGAATGATATGGCCATTACCACAAGAAATGACAGCAAACTTCCACAAAATTTTCTCATTTTTTTGATATAAAATATGGGTTTGAAAAATTATTTAATAATAATGGTTTCAATTAAGTAGATTCAAGAATATTCCGTTGTTATCAAAACAACCATTTTATATTCATTAAATATGCAGTTATTAAAATCAATCATAAATGTATTTTGCAAATTTATTTTTAATTTTGATGTTATGTTAATAACAGTAAATGTTGTCGAGCACTAGATTCTGTATATTAATACCATTAATGTTATTTATTACATGAAAATATAGCAATCAATACAAGTGAGAAAATATATGCTGTTTTGCTTGTGTTAGACACAAAACTTTCTTGTATTACTAGAACTACCGCTACTTTCGGTATCGACTTTTCAATAGATTTCATAACATTTCTAATGCTTTTACTCCAGTATTTCATATATTAATATAAAACTACAGGTTATTTCGATCCATAACTTATATATTGCTAGTACTGTATATGAACTCGTGTTTCGGTTAGTGGTTA